ATATATATATATATATATATATATATATATATATATATATATAATACATGCAAAATTGTCAAATTAGTAAAAGCTTTACTTCAGTCAAAATGCTTCCAAAGTATTATGGATAAGACTGTTCATCTTTGCTGCTTTGCTAGGAGTTGTCCTTTCTGAAATTTCTTTTGTATCTAATTTAGTCCTGCTGCATTGGTTTTATACAGATCAGCTACTCAGTTTTTGCTAAATCTCAAAGGTGAACACTCTAGTAGTCAGCTCTACCTCAACAATTAGCATAATCGCCTGTGTGGAAGCTTCACTGGATATGTATTGGATTAAAGGGAGACATGCCCACCCAGTTATTTCTTTTCCCTTTCTATTCTTCCCCAAGTATCTCATGCACATACAAAACAGTACCTAGCACTGAGAGTTTACAGTTGATAAAATGAAAATAAACAAAGGAAAAACATCCCCTAAACCTAAAACAGAAGCAAAAACAACCCCCAGCAGCATTAACACAGGCCATTTTAATAAAATCATGGGAAAAGCCTAATAAATTCAAAGTCAAAGAAAATATTTATAAATTTTGTGAAATGGTAATTTAGTTGCTCTCAGACCTAATATTTACACAATTGGCCATTTAGATTGCCATGAGATTTTGATGTTAGGACATTCTCCATATGTATTATAACAGTTTACACTACTGGTATGTTGTGAAATGCTAAGCCAGTAGTTCTAGAGCTTGCGTCTGGTTGGAAGCCAGCTAGATGGATTTAAATACATGTTTGAAGGAACATAGACTCCTAAGTAGGTAGACTGTAAGCAGGCAGGCTCCTGATTTCATTGCTACCACGTTCTTCTGAGAACAAATAGTCACCTGAGTCACCATTTGGCGGTCTGTACAAAGGGGTGGTGCTCTTTACTTCTGTGTCTTCCATAGTGCTGGAGCATAATTAATGTAGAGAAAGTCTAAGATACGTGAGCACTGTTGTTGCTTTAAGATGGTGTACACTTCTATAAGCCATTTTGTTTCTCCGGTATTTCTTATGAAAAATGGAATATTTTGATGATAGGTTTAAATGACCATTATTGCTAAAGCTCCACATTTTAAAAAATCATTAAGCTACAAAGCTCATTTAAGTTTATGTAAGTATGGGTATAAAATGAATTAATCCAGCTGTCATCTACAGATTGCTGTGCTGACACCCAGCACAGAAAGAGGGGTACATGTGTGGCTTTCCAGTCTCAAATCAAACTTCTAACTCCAGCCTGCTGTGAATAAATCTTGTCCACTTAAGCTTCCAGTTCCACTTTCATGAAATTCAAAGCTAATAGTAAGCAGATCAAGACAAGCAGAGCTCAGATGAGCTCATGTCTGTCTTCGCTCCTTTGGTGGAGAAGGGAAGAGTGTTTTTTGCTAAAGATGTGATGTGGCTTTAGAAGAATCCAGTGAAGAGGAGCTTGACATTAGCTGTGAGTCCTCCACGTTTTTTTGCTGGTGACTGCAGAGGTGTTTTAAATCCCTAATGAATATATGTACTCATAAATGTGGAACATGTGGTTTTTGAGATCTCCTGAGTGAATTTCTTTTAGTTCTTCTTCCCAGAGAGTGGGTTAGAGGCAACTGAATATCTTACATTCAGTTCCCTAGCACTGCATGCATTCCATCTGATTTTGGATGTGTTTTGGTATTTCCCATGGTTATGGGACAGTGAGCATGCTGCAGCTGTGCAGTTGTCAACAGAGAGAAAGCTGTTCATTGCAATGTTGAAATGAGGAAAAACTGTTGAAGGACAGATTTTATTATAAACATTTTCATGAAAGAATCTGACATCCAATTGAGTCGTTCTTCTTGGAAGGAACTGAGTTTTTTTTGTTTGTTTGTTTGTTTTTGTTTTTTTGTTTTTAAGTGAGATTGCATGATATGGGCAGCACTGCATGTTGCACGTGGCAGCCTTAATGTTGGTGGAAACAATCATAACACAAAAATGGAAAGGAAAAAAAAAAAAGAAAAAAAAAGTTGATCTGTAAGTCAGATATCCAATGAGAAAATGAATCCAGCCAACTTGCTGAGCCTTCAGTAGCACAAAGATATTCCAGGGATCTGCAAGGAGATGCTGGGCAATGGCTCCAGCCTTTGCATTACACACCGGGACAGTGCAGCAGCCTTCCAACTCAATCTGTAGAAGAGCTCTTATGAAAAAGCTTTTCACATTGGAGCCATTTTCTAAACATTACACTGATGAATGATGTGAAATGCCCTGTGAGAAATTGAAGCCTGCAGAGCTAATTCTTACATTCTCCATACCATTAAGTTACCAGGTTCTACACATGTCTATTAGAAATTGCAGAGTTGTCTTCCTGTAGATCGTGCCTCCATAATATAATAATAGTATTTATTTTGTATGATCTGGCTTTACATGTTTTACTGCAGGGTCTGGAATACACAAGCTTCAATTCTATGAAGCAGCAGAGAACACTTGGCATTCAATCTGGCGCGAAGGGAATGCTTTGGCATTCAGCTGCAAAACTGGTTGCTGTTAGAGACTGCTGGCAGCTAACAGCATCGTGCTTGTTCTTCAGATGCTGTGACAGGAAATAGATTGGCACACGGATGCTCTTGTATCTTGCCAACACAGAGGTGTTGGCAGCTTTGGTATGGTGGAAGGGAGAGGGCAATTGTGAGGGTCAGAACAGGATGGCAAAGGCACCGCTGTACGTGGCCAGATTGTGAACTGTCAGAAGACTGAGACCTTTGAGCTCCGACTTCTTAAAAGAAGCATCTCTTATAGCCAGGCACAGTATTTAAAATCTAACCTGAAGAGTATTTCTCCAGGTAATAATAGAGATATTGTATAGGCAATCAGCAGCTGAAGCTGATCAGTCTCTAGCTGTTCTGTACTGTATTTGCTGTTAGAAAGGGGGAAATATTTCAGGAATTACCTTCTACAGGCAGTAGGGGGCAACATTTCCACGAAATTCGGGAGTTTTGACCATTACCAGACCTTCAGATAAGATGAAAAATAAGCATATTTTCAGCAGTTGTCAAGCTATCTGAATCTAATACCAACTTAACAATGTTAATAAAAATGCAGTTTATATTTCCTGCATTCTGCTAAGAGTAACACTTAGCCAAAGATGCTCTGTCTTTGTTTGATAGCATATTTTCTGAACTGCAAGAAATGCAGTAATCAACACATAACTAATAAATGCCATAAACTTGCAGTAATTCACCACCATGTTGCTGCATGATTTCTCTGTATTCTTTGCTTCTTGACTTTGCTGGAATAGCTATGTAGCTATAGTCCTTAAGGGCTGTGGCACAGAAAACTTAATTCCTTGACTGGCTGTCAGAGAAACAGCAGTGACCTGCATTGCTGAAGATCCTGCCTGATCCCTCAGCAGCTTTCTGACTGTTTTCTAATGAAATGGAAGCAAATTGCTGGTTTTAATTAAAGCTGACAGTGCTTTTCTCTTAGTTTATTGGCGGTGATGGATGATAGACACTCCATGAAATCAAAGTGCGATCTCTGCATGCTGAGTGTAAAGCAGAGTCATTAAGATATGTCAGAAGGCAGAGCTCTGGCAGGGAGGGGCAAGAACAGAACAGCCAAAGCAGATTGACAGTGATGCTGGGTTATTACAGCAGTAATGCTGTTTCCCCTGCACTCAAGGCAGGTCTTAAACTGACCTCTTAGCTCATATATATGTTGATCTTTGCTCCTCAATTATGCTGATGCACAGTTTGAGTCCAGAACACCTGTACCAACTGCTTGCTTTGTCACATAACGCTGTTATCAGTATATTTTTATTTCTTAGCATGGTTTTGTTTTCCACTGACAAACCTGAAAATGAAAATATTTAGCAAACGTGCACATCTGTATGAGATGCAGAGGAATAATTCAACATCTTCTTGCTTTCAGTTGTTCTGTCTCCGGGAAGTACTTACTGTGCAATCCAAAATGGTGTTGTTATCCGTGATGCCTCTGGTGACTATTGCCAGTAGCAATCAGAGCGTTACTCTCCCCTTCCTCTGTCACACAAACATCAAAATAGGGATGAGCCAGTACTGTGGCATATCCAACTTCTGGCCTTTTTCTTTACCCGCGTTTTTTAACTGCTTCTCACAGCTTAATCTTTTGTCTCTGTTCCACGCTCCCACCCCGATCCTTGTTTTATCTCTACTTTAGCGGTGATCCCCCTGACTGACTCTGAACATAAGCTACTGCCTTTGCACTTTGCGGTCGATCCTGGGAAAGACTGGGAATGGGGAAAAGATGACAATGACAACACCAAACTGGCCAAGTAAGACCTTCCTGTGGCTTTAGCATGAAGCAGTAAAATGTCTTGAGCCATACCTAATCTAAGTACTGAGAGAGCTGCTACCAGAAGGAGCTTTGTTCTTGTTTTCTGGCTACATGGGAGAGGAGGTGGGTGGATGGGTGGGTCTCCAGCTGATGGTCACAGATCAGGCTGCTGTTGTGCTGGCAGTGTTATCTCTCCATATACACTTCTTTTCTCAGTGTGTTTTTGACTGTGTGTTCCTTTCTGTTTTCATCCTTAGTTTGATTCTGTCTCTTGAGGCAAAGCTTAATCTTCTGCACAGCTATATGAATGTAACGTGGATACGCATACCATCTGAAACACGGGTAAGGTAAACTTCCTCCTCAGTCTAAACCAAATAAGTGATATGAGGCACAATAAGGTGTTGCGTAGGGTAGGCTGCATGTCCTGGCCAGCTGCCTGAAACCACCTGTATCCTAGCAGCAGAGACAAGTCACTTGTGGCACACCGTCAGTGCCACTAGGCTTGTAGATTTCTAGTGTTCTGTCTTTAAGACAGTTTCTTGTGTATTGTTGCAACTTACATTCCATTCTGAAGTGTGTTTTCTAGCTTTATCTTTCTCTTATCTATTTCAGTATCCCCTTCAGTTCAGAAAAATAAAACAGGCATTCTCTAACTACTTTTTTCTCAGAACCTTGGCTTGCTCTCCTAATACCACTGTTAGGTCACTAGACCCCAGCCCTTTCTCTTTTTAAGAACAGATTTGGACTCCTGGATAGCCTCCAGTGTAGACTGGCTGACAAAAGGCCACAGACTGGCAGTGAACTGGAGCCTGGTTCTTTTAAAAAACTATCTTAGAACTATGCCCAGCTGGCACCTCATCAGCTGCAAATTTCTCTGCAAATTACATTGAATAGATTGAGGGGTTAGTCTAAAGGCGAAAGGTTGCTAGGAGAAGATGGTGGTGATTTAGACAGCCTGCACAGATGGTATTTGAAAGGAGGAACACTACACAAAAGGAAAAAGAGTTTAACAAGCTGCAGGAGAGAAAAAAAAATCCATTTTTCTGTAGTTTCACCCTAAAGCAGTGGCCACCACATCAGAAAAAGGAGAGGCAAAATTGTCCTGTAATTGTAAGCTGTGAGCCTGAAACGACATGAGACCTGCGTTACCTCTCCCTGCTTCAGGATTCCAGACAAGAGGACATTTAAGTACTCAGGGACAAGAAACAAGTGTGCATTTCTTCAGTGAAGGTGTATACATCTCCAGAGTGGTTGTATATCACTATGGATAGTTAAGTGTTTCATATTTATCTTGAGCAGATTGGTGTTTTGTGATGCCTGGATGCAAAACTAAGTTTTGCAGGACTAAGTGACTGCAGACAGATTTGAAATTGTCCTAGGATCCTCTCACTAGACATTGTCAAGGAAGATACTTTATCACCTTACCTAAAACATGACTTGGAACTCAGATGTCTTGCATCAGTTTTATCTGCATTGAATTTTCAGTAAGAGTGAGCAGACCTTATTGGTCTATGTGATAAAATTTGCTATGTCAGACAAGATGTTTAGCTCTGTTGCATTGTAGCACTGATGTAAATGGACTGGAGGCCTGAACAACGAAGAAATTAACTAAGTTGTTTTATGAACATCAGGAATTTTGAAATATTACTACAGACAGATTTGTATGCTGCACACCCCTCACAGCTTTCAGCAGAACCTTGCTAATTTTCCATTGCTGTGGTATCAGTTCTCTTCTGATCTTCTGTCTGTTTGCTGAGAGGCTGCAAGTACTGTGGATGCTTCCAGTTCAGTGACTGGTTGCAGCCACTCTGCTGGTCAGTGTGAACAGGGAGGTTGAGCTGCAGACTTCTTGATGAGAGCACTAACTTGAGTCTCTCCATCATTCAGACAATGATTTTCACAGAACTTCTGAATGACTGACCTCTACTCTTCAGATGAGCTTGGAGTGAGCCAAAAGCCACTGCAGGAGCAAGCAAGATAGGTAGCACAGCCAAATAAGAAAGAAACCAGTATAAAATGTCAGTATAAAAAGTACACTTCTAAAGTCACTTTGAAAGTCTTTATTAGATAATACTTTTTTGCACCAAGTCCCTGTATGAAACTGCTTTTTCTGTATCTAATTATAATTAATTTTCCATAGCAGGCCCCTTTGGCTCAACCAGAATCCCCTACAGCTTCAGCTGGGGAGGACGTTCAATCTCTGGCTGACTCAATGGACTCGGACCGAGATTCCATCTGTAGTAATTCCAACGGCAGTAATGGAAAAAACAATAAAGAAAAAGAAAAGGACAAACAGAGGAAGGATAAAGACAAAAACAGGACGGATTCAGTTGCCAATAAAATAGGAAGCCTCAGTAAAACCCTAGGAATTAAGCTGAAAAAGAATATGGGCGGTCTTGGAGGCCTGGTGCATGGCAAAATGAGCAGGGCAAATTCAGGGAATGGAAAAAACGGTGACACCATGGAGAAAGTCAAAGAGAAGAAGTCTAAGTCTCGAAAAGGAAGCAAAGAAGAGTCTGGGCAGTCTGCAAGCACTTCTCCATCTGAAAAGACCACCCCATCTCCTACTGACAGAGCTAGCAACTCACCCATTGAAAAGATGAACACAAAATCCTTGTCTGACAAGCAGGCTGATCCATGGAAATACAGCACTGATGTGAAACTCAGCCTCAATATTTTGAGAGCGGCCATGCAGGGTGAACGCAAGTTTATTTTTGCTGGCCTTCTTTTGACCAGCCACAGGCATCAGTTCCATGAGGAGATGATTGGTTATTACCTAACCAGCGCGCAGGAGCGTTTCAATGCTGAGCAGGAACAGAAAAGAAAGGATGCTGAGAAAAAGGCTGCGCTGAATGGGTCATCTAGTAGGAAGCTGGAGCCAGAAGCGTATTCAAAAGAGAAGTCAGAAACATCTCCTCAGGATCGGGCATCACCTGTCTTGCCTCAAAGCCATACGACTCAACTGGTTTTAAAATTTAAAGATCGCACTAGTCCCACTCCGGGGTCATTTTCTTCACCTAGTAATGGTGCTAAGAAAAGTGGACCCATTCCAGTGTCTGCCCACTATAGCCATACACCACCTGTTCAAAGACAGAGTGTCATCCATTTGCATGATGTCAACTCCAAGCCATCGAGCTTCCAAGATGACACTTACAAGCCAGTGGTTGGCACATTAAAAACCTGTGCCACGTATCCCCAACAAAACAGATCACTGTCTTCTCAGAGCTACAGCCCGGCCCGGATAACTGGTATCCGCACAGTGAACACAGTGGAATCACTGAGCTATGCCATGCCTACTGAACACAAGTCTCAGACATACACTAATGGATTTAATACTGGCGACATTAGAGACTGCTTAGAATATGCTGATGAGGATGCTCCTCAGACCTGGTTGAACAATGATAAAAATCAAGGCAGAAGCACAGTTTGCCCAATATATCCCATCCAGCAAAACCGCTGTAAGAAGGATAACTGTTCCTTTTATGGTCGTCCTGAGACTGACAATTACTGTTCGTACTGCTACAAAGAAGAGCTGAAGCGCAGGGAGAGGGAAAGTAAGGGACACAGGCATTGAGGATTCTTCCGTGACTATATTTAGTTTTACCATTTTCTTACTTGCAGAGTAAACAGTGTTGAATTGCAGTAAAAGGAATCCTTCAAAAAAGAATAAAGGATTGATGAGTAAATAGTGTCTAGCTTTTCGCTTTTCCTGGGCAATGAGGAAATAATAGGATTAATTTATCATAAAAAAATATATATTATTTTCCATTTTGTCAGTGTCTTTTTTACATACTCTGGGTAAGCTGAAGGGTTGTTTACTTCTTTGTCAGTGCTGTGTGTATGTTTGGTCAAAAATTTACTAATGGTGCCTGAATTTACACTGACATCACTCAGGTAGTAGTATGATAGGGGAAAGTCATAATACCGGAGATGTGGTGTTGTAGTAGGGTAGTATCTGCCTTGTAAACATTTGAAATTCTATAGCTGTCATGAGAGTATTTTTTTCCTCAGCAAGAGTAAGTTTTTCTTTCTTTCTGGAGGGTAGCAACTTTTGCATAACGCACACTTTTAAGATGGCAGCATACTGCACTAGCACTGATGTTCATACTCACTTTAGTTTGAGACGGGATGATTCTAGGAAACTGGAGGTGAAAGGTCTGAATTCACGAGGGCTGTAGCTCTTCCTGATTTTAAGTTCTCAGCAGTTATTTGTACATCTCCATTATAAAGTAGATTTGCGCCATTTTTACCTGTATTGAATTTGTAAACGCATTTTATATAAAAACATGACCTGCAAGACTTCACTTCCTAAGGGAAAAAAAAAAAAAAAAGACAAAGAAAATTCATATAAAATTCAGTATAATTTTGGGCACCTGAATCTCAGTATTTTCATTGCTGCTAAATTTGGGAAAAAAAACTATTTTAAAATCAAAATCTAAAAATTCTATTAGATTTGGAAAATTTGATGACCAGCTAGGAAATGTAGGATCAATCTGGAGCTGAATGAACTGCTTGTCAAAACAAATGTATTGCATCCCCAGATTGCCTTAGCCATTATATAAATGTAATCGTTATTTGTTTATTCCTTTTCCAATGTTGTTGACTGATAGTTACTGCAAACATAATTACTTCTGAGCATTTCTTGAAGACATTTGACCCCTGTTTTTGTTTCATCTTGAGCAAGTCATACATCTACCTGGAGGTTTCAAGATGGCTATAAAATGCCTACAGGTACAAACGCCTTCTCCTAGCACAGATGTGCACAAGTCTGATTTCCAGATACTTACATAAATATTTGCAGTACCTTTGAAAATAAAGCTGTGTTCATAGAAGCATTTCTGTAACGCAAATACCAGAAATGCTGTTCAAGTAGATGCTTGAAATTAGCATGTTTTGTTGAGTATGGCATATGCATTTTTTATGCCATTCTCACCGCCTGTTGGCACAATCTAGCAAGAGTGGATCTTCTCTGTAGTTGTGCTTGTGAGCAGTGGTTCATCAGCCGTGTGCCTACGTTTTTTTTAAGCTCATTTTCCACAAGGAAGTACAGCATAGCATTGCCTTCAAAAATGCTTCTCTGCCATCTCAAGGTGCAGGACACGAGTCCTGCCTTGTGCATTACAGAATAGCATTTTTCCAGCCTGCAGGGATCATTGTTTCTGCTGCTTTTCTAGTGTACTCGTTTTGACTCCTGGCATGGTTGGCTTGTACACAGTTAACGCTAACTAGTCTCAAAGCCGTGTGTGAAGGAGCCCATGAAACACAACACAGCCTTATGCTGATGTTTCTGAAAAGCGCATACACACTTGCTCACATCCCTCAGAAATTTATGAAACTGAACACATACTTAAAATTGGCTACGTAATTTAAAGAGATTTAAAGAACACTTTCAGATTAAGGCCATCAGCTGCTCCTCAAAGCCCTGGTCCATCCCTTGTTTGCTGTTCCATGAATCCAGACTTGTACTTCATATATGTGAGCAGTATACTGAGCACACACTGGATGTCACTGAATTTGCAGCCTTTCATAAAAGGGAAGTATTGGGAAGCCTAATGAGGAATTAAAACTCATTGGGACTTCTGTCCTTAAGGTAAGCAGGTTCTAAAACGTGTGACTGGTTGAAAACACTGGTAAGCAGTGACCTGTTTGGGGTAAATGTTGTGATGACATGCAAGTTCTCATTGCCAAAGAAATCTGTGGTTTCAAGTTAAGTTAGGTCAGAATATGTTAGATGAGACATTGGATGATATTGTATTTGCTGTTGAGGTGGACGAATCTGACAGGGTAATACTTCATATAATAAATATTTAAGAATTCTTAGAGCATTACAGTAGTGGTTGCGTTTGATGCTCTAGGGAATGTTTGTGCGAAGTTGTGCTTAAGAAGCACTATGTTAGCAGCAGAGTGCACCTTTGGACGCAGTTTGGTATGGATCTGAGTCAGGTATTTCCTTCTGAACGAGGGGAACAATGACAGTGCATGTCTAAAACCAAGGAATTGCCATGAGAATTTACTGCTTTCCATTTTTCTGTGGAATTGTTTGTGAATATGTTTTTAAGATATGCTATTCACAACATGAAGTTTACAGAAGGTCAGTATTTAGATAAAGGACTCATCTAATAGTGATTGTGTCAGTCTTTGCCTGACCTGGCCCCCTGTTGGAACTTGTAAGTTACCACTGAGCCAAAGCTGTACAGAAATCACTTGGTTTTGGAGATCCCTGCTCATTTTTTCTGTTAGCTCGTGTGGCTGCAATACACATATTTACATTTACCATTGTACGTGCCTTTTTTCTCTTTTGTGGCAATTGGACATCATCACTGTTATCCAGAATCTAAAAGCCTGGGTTGATTACAGCCTCCCAGAACAGCAGCAGAATCACCAGGAGGTACTTAGATTGGAGGAAGCTGAAATTTTTAAAACATGTGCAGGTCTGTTCATAACACTGTAGGCCTGTAATACGTAATGGGTTTCAGTCATGCTTTGTATTGAAGTTCCACTTAAAATTCTCTACAAGGAGTTAATAAGCTATTGCTAGACTTTGAGCATTCTTTTCAGATGTGGGTGTCAGTTGTAACAGGCGGCCAACAAGCAGCTCATTCAGAAGAAGGTGGCATAGATTACCAAAAGCAACTTTTAAATTTTTTAGTGATTTTTAAATGATTGATTAACCTGTTGTTAATATAATTAATTATGCTTTATAACTGCAGTGGAAACAGTGATTGTGACCCAGATTCCTTTAGCAGTTACTTCCTTCTTCCTAAGTCAAAGGTAGCACGAGAAGCATCAGTGAAAGTAAAACGCTGTATTTGGAGATTGCGTTGCTTATTTCTTAGTGCATCTAAATAGGCCAAGTGAAGTCTTCAGGGACATCTTTTCTAAAATCACAAAACTCATGGTATGAGCAGTATCACTTGATAGAGAAAGCATTGAGGAGAGATGCTTAACATGGGTTTGTGCACCGTTTGACTGCAGATCAAAGCAGTCTGCCAAGGCAATATACATACAGGCATATTCAGGGTAATCTACTTCTCTTGTGATGATGAATGTGTAGATATCAAAAAATGCACAGCACAGATCTGACAAAATACTGCCCTCAACTCCCTGATTCTGCAAACAATTACTCTGGTGCTCAACTTCACCAATATGAACAGTCTTCCTGACATAAAGGAGACTGCTTATTTTCAGAAACGTAACATAACTGTTAAAAAACTTAGCCTAGATGTTGGTGGGATGGAGGCCAGAGCCCTTCAGCCAGTGCTTGTTCTCAGGCTGCTTATCGGTGCTCTTCCAATGAGAGAATGGATGAGAATTGTGCCTGAGGAGCAGAGGGATGCTTTAAGTCTTTGTGGGCTAAATCTGCTGTCCTCTGAAATGTGCAGACAGAATGCCGTTAGCAGAGGGGGCCTTAAGTCAGGTGCTTCACGGACACTTAAAATGCTTGCAAGCTGGATGGCAGAGCAGAGCATGAGCTAACACAGAACTAAGGTCTTCACACTGGGAATGCTCTGCAGTCAGGAACCTGTGTGTTGACAGATACCACAATGATCTCAGACAGAGGTCCAGAGGAGTAACATGCTGATTGTGGATGGCTTTTCAGCTTTGTGTACTTTAAGTCTCTGTCAGTGTATTTGGAGCGTATTTGTTTTAAGGTACGACGGCTTACAGAGAGGATCACCAAAAGGTATACAGCATAGAACTTTAGCTATTTTGGTATCAGGCACTAATCCCTCTTTTAATTTGCACATTAATTTCCTACGTACGTGACTAAAAATACTGTATTGTTATAAATGAGAGGAAAAAACCACAGCGGTGTTGTAAGTATGTTCTGTTTGTAGACTTAAGGCTGTATTATGTTGGAATTTTACAAGCCAAGTTTAAACTGTAATATAGAAATTATTTTTATATTATTTTCAAAATATGCTACAGAGCAATATTTTGCGCCTTTATTATGAACAGGGTCATCATTTTAGTAGGTTACCTTCCAAAGTGCTGGTAGAAATTAACCACGAAAAGAAAGCTTTGTAAAAATGTGTGTGTTGTTTCTAACTGCTGTCTGTTGTGCACATCTGTGTCTAATGAGAGTTGAATACACAGGTTTTTTTTCTTAATTGAAAAGCTTTGAATTTTTCTTTATATATTTTTGGTAAAACACTGTTCCTCCCTATCTCCTTCCATTCTTCCTTCTGGTCTCTACCAATAGCCACTTTTATAAGCAGCTTATGAATAAACATTCATCTGGAAAGTTTTCTTACCAAATGAAGCATTTCTGCACTGCTACTGATTGACGTGGGATGTTGAGAACATACCCTGCATCCACTGATGAACGGTAATTTTGCTTTTTAGAAAGATGGGGTCTTGCATTTGCTGTTCCTTGCAAATGAAAATCAAGACTTAGTAATCAGTGCAGTGATTTAGCATCTGTGGGAAGAAAATCACTACAGATCATAGAAATGTCATCTTGTAATTGGCAGATGCATTGTATCTGAATATATTTGAAATGTGTTGCCTCCCTGCAGATTAAGGTGTGCAGATTTCATTTCTTCATGGGTTTTTGTACTGTACTTCCCAATTACCTGTGAGTCATCCAAAAAAGGACTTTACGAACTGAGACATATTTTAAATTGGGGAGTCAGTAAGATTTTAGAATTCGAACTTCTGTGATTTTATTTGCTTTTTTTTTTTTTTTAATTTAAATGAATCTCCTATTAAGTTATGTACTCCAACCAAAAAAGTAGGATCTGGATGCCTAATGTGATGATTCTGCATTCAGGTTTCTCCTAATAAACAGACTGGTTTTAAGATGGACTGAGCATCAGTTTCTGTGGGAGAACAAGCTCCTGCCTCCAGAAAATCAGGGCAGCAATACTCCAACGCACATTCAGGGTTTTGCTTATTTTTCTGCTTAGTTTTACTCAGTGGAAATTGCATTTTATCTTCAGTGTTTTTCCATGTATGAACAAATAATTGGGCTTTTATTCACAGAGTGTTTGCATGCCTATGGAGAGACTTGCTTTGTACCAAAAGACCATATTGCTATACATTAACCTACTGCAGTCAAAACAGGGCTGGTGTATTCCACTGATGTTCTTGTGTAGCGTACTCATTCTGATTTTTCTCCTCTCAAGTAAATACACTGTTCTGATTGCTGTTTTATCTCCCATTACCTGAATGCATGTACTGTATCAAGAGAATTGAAATGGCTGATGCACATTTGCACTGTGGAACACGTGATTTGGGTAAAAGCCACCAGGTTCCAAACAGCCTTAAAATTACGACTCTCTGGGGACCAGGAGTCATTTAGCTGGATGCAGCCTCTGCCCCACTTCTCATTTAGCCATGGCTGTAAAGCATTCTGACTTGCTGTACTCTGCATAAGCGTCTGCATATTCACCCAAACAACCTGTCACTTTAAAAGACGTTTTGCTGTAAAAACTTACAGTTCTTTGTAAGTGTCACCGTGTCAGAAGACCTTACTCAACATAAGCGACAAGGGTAAAAACAGGTGAATGTCAGCACCACAGTACTGCAGAAGGGAAGGTTAAGTTGTGTCAGGAGCCATTTCCTTTCAGGACTGAAAGTGTAGATCGTTGTGTGTCCTGGGAAAGCAAAGGAATGTTGCTCTGCCATTTATCTCTGCATGTTGTAGCCTTTTACTTTGATGCAGAGGTTTACCCTTTGCCAGAAAGCAAATTCTGCATTGTCCACATCATCTGAGATTACAGAAGCATGAACCAATGTTAGAACTAGACAGTGCCTAAGGTGCCCTCTGTGAGTGCTGTGTATTTCACTTTCCTTTTCCCCTTTCTCTT